TGGGACAATCATTGCATCCTTCCACACCTTTGGAACATGCTGTACTTTCATGGACTTATTAAAAATGCTCAACTCTTTTGCACAAGACTTGAGTACCCGGCCACAAATATTATCAGACCCACATCTCTTATTTACTCTAACTGGGGAAAAAAGGCCCTTTCCACCTCCTTTTGGTCTATACAGAAATGCTGGCTCTCCTCAAGCTTGTGACGCCAGTCCTGGAGTTCCTCACTAAAAGCAGATGTATCAAAACGATTATAACAACTATTTTAAGGCATTTGCACATTCAAATTTCGAATTGTATTGTGCTTTGAACTACCATACCCTAATATAGCTTTGATACTGGACCAGGCTGAATCAAATTTATTTTCAGCCATTTGACTCTCTAATCTCACTTGATAATTCTTTTTTGCCTTTAGGATTTCTACTTTCAACCCCCTAGTGGCCGCTTGTTTGTGTGAATCAGTAAATTCATCTAGTTTAAAGACCCGTCTCTTAGATTCTATACTGGATTTAACAGATTTGGTTATCCATGGTTTGTTATTTGGATAGATTTTGACTGTCTTACTAGGAATTATCATATACCTACAAAAAGCAACATGGGAACAGGTCATTACCACAGCTTTCTCTAAACATATTCCAGTCCGTGCAATCATAACACTCTTGTAAACAGAGCACAGATTCCTCAGTCCAGACCTTTACATCCTTTGTTTGCGCCTTCTCTCTCCTTAAAACAGTCAATAAAAACACACAGTTGTGGTCAGCCGAGCCCAAAGGAGGCAATGGAAGTGATTTGAAGGCGTCCTTTACTGTTCCGTAGCACAGATCAAGTGTTTTATTCCGTCTGGTTGGGCAAGTGATGTATTGATAGTAATGTGGAAGTGCTTTTTTCAGTGACACATGGTTAAATCACCCAATACCAAACGCTCAGTGATTTCGACTGTAGTTTTTGTACCACCTCAGAAATGGTACTAGTGGCAGAGACGGCATCTGCCTTTTGGATGGATATACACACAGTCCTAAAAATTTGTGGAAACTCACAAGGCAAATAAAACGGACGTAGTGACTGTTAAAAGTTCGACATTCGAAGTGCAAATCTGTTCTCGAACAGTCACAGCACTACAATATTGTTTGTTAACATACAACATACCCCACCGCCCTGTTTTTCCCCATCACTTCAGCATCACGATCCAAACGAAACGGTGTCCAAATCCATCGATGCACAGGTCTGTGTCTGAGTCCTGCTCATTGAGCCATGTCTCCGTAAAGGCCAAGATGCCACAGGTTTTAAAATCCTTCTGGAATCGGACATACCCCTGAAGTTCATCCGTTTTATTCCTCAAGAACTGAACATTCCCCACGATCACCGAGGGCAGAGGAATCCGGGACAGACGTTGTTTCCTCAGGCGTAACTTTACACCACCTCGCTTTCCCCGCTTCTTTCTCTTTCCTTCGGTTTTTCCAATTTTTCACATGGCTGTCTCAAAATAAAGTCCGAAAGCTGTGGGAAAATCCACCATGCGCATCGAACGCGCACAGTTTAACTGCAGCAGCACCTCTCTTGAGTAGTGCAACCGGCTTTGCCCGTCAAATTCATTAGAATCACAAACACGCCAAAAGTCCACAAGACACTGAGATAAATAGGCAAAATAGATCCATCCTTGCGCAAGCCCCTTCCCGTGGAACAATTTGAATAAACTTCAAAGCATAAAACTAAAAAAGAACATAAACACAAGGACATGAGAACGCCAAACGTTTCACTGCCGTCGTGTGTGCGCATGCGCCCAAAAATCAGTGGTTCTGTACCAGTGTTCTGTGTCCGTTCTGTGGTTCTCTCAGAGTTCTGTGGTGTATGTGTGTTCTGTACCAGTGTTCTGTGTCAGGTTCCGTGTCCTTCTCGGCATTCTGTGGTCCTGTTCGTGTGTGCTGCATTCTTTAAGGTCCTGTCTTGGTGTGTGTAGTTCTGTTGGTGTCTGTGGTTCCTCTCGGTGTTCTGTGTGCAACATGTGTTCTGTATCAGTGTTCTGTGGTTCTGTACAGTGTTCTGTCAGTTTTGTGGTCCTGTCTCGGTGTGCTGTAGTTCGTCTTGGTGTTCTGTGGTTCTGTACCAGTGTTTGGGTGTAGCGTGTGTTCTGTACCAGTGTTCTGTGGTTTGTACCAGTGTTTTGTGGTGTAGCGTGTGTTCTGTACCAGTGATCTGTGGTTCTGTACCAGTTCTGTGTGTTGTGATTTCTTCTCGGTGTTCTGTGGTTCTGTACCAGTGTTCTGTCTGTGTTCTGTAGTCCTGTCTCAGTGTGTGTAGTCTGTTTGGTATTCTGTGGTTCGTACCAGTGTTTTGTGTGTGTAGCGTGTGTTCTGTACCAGTGTTCTGTGGTTCTGTACCAGTGTTTTGTGGTGTAGCGTGTGTTCTGTACCAGTGATCTGTGGTTCTGTACCAGTGTTTGTGGTGTAGCGTGTGTTCTGTACCAGTGATCTGTGGTTCTGTACCAGTCTTCTGTGTCAGTGTTGTGTATTTCTGTCTCGGTGTTCTGTGGTTCTGTACCAGTGTTCTGTCTCTGTGTTCTGTGGTCCTGTCTCAGTGTGCTGTAGTTCTGTCTTGGTATTCTGTGGTTCTGTACCAGTGTTTTGTGGTGTAGCGGTGTTCTGTACCAGTGTTCTGTGGTTTTACCAGTGTTTTGTGGTGTAGCGTGTGTTCTGTACCAGTGATCTGTGGTTCTGTACCAGTGTTTTGTGGTGTAGCGAGTGTTCTGTACCAGTGATCTGTGGTTCTGTACCAGTCTTCTGTGTCAGTGATCTGTGGTTCTGTACCAGTGTTCTGTGTCAGTGTTCTGTGGTTCTGTACCAGTGTTTTGTGGTGTAGCGTGTTCTGTACCAGTGATCTGTGGTTCTGTACCAGCGTTCTGTGTCAGTGTTCTGTGGTTCTGTACCAGTGTTTTGTGGTGTAGCGTGTGTTCTGTACCAGTGTTCTGTGGTTCTGTACCAGTGTTTTGTGGTGTAGCGTGTGTTCTGTACCAGTGATCTGTGGTTCTGTACCAGTCTTCTGTGTCAGTGTTCTGTGGTTCTGTACCAGTGTTTTGTGGTGTTGCGTGTGTTCTGTACCAGTGTTCTGTGGTTCTGTACCAGTGTTTTGTGGTGTAGCGTGTGTTCTGTACCAGTGTTCTGTGGTTCTGTACCAGTGTTTTGTGGTGTAGTGTGTGTTCTGTACCAGTGATCTGTGGTTCTGTACCAGTCTTCTGTGTCAGTGATCTGTGGTTCTGTACCAGTGTTCTGTGTCAGTGTTCTGTGGTTTTTTACCAGTGTTTTGTGGTGTAGCGTGTGTTCTGTACCAGTGATCTGTGGTTCTGTACCAGTGTTTTGTGGTGTAGTGTGTGTTCTGTACCAGTGATCTGTGGTTCTGTACCAGTGTTCTGTGTCAGTGTTCTGTGGTTTTTTACCAGTGTTTTGTGGTGTAGCGTGTGTTCTGTACCAGTGATCTGTGGTTCTGTACCAGCGTTCTGTGTCAGTGTTCTGTGGTTCTGTACCAGTGTTTTGTGGTGTAGCGTGTGTTCTGTCTCTGTGTTCTGTGGTGTAACGTGTGTCCCGTCCACCAGGCGGCCTCCTTCGGGAAGTGTTTCCTGACCGACTTCAGTCCGGATCTGTTTGTGGCGACCTGCAGAGAACTCCGAGTGCTGAACGCCGTCAGAGAGAGTGGCGTGGGGCTGCCGCTCACACACACTCAGTATCCTCACACACTCTGCACAGGTGCATCGTGGGAAATGTTTTTAACCTGTAGTGATGAAGGGTTAATGAACCGTGATGTCATCATCTGTTGTATTACTACCGACCAATCAGATGTCAGATCCTGTCAGTCATTAACAGATTTCAGTTTCACTGTTACCACGGTGACAGGCTCCTTGACCTCTGACCTCAGATTCAAACAGATGACTCTACAGGTGCTGATCGACAGGTGAGTCAGCTCATCCCGCCTGTCTGTCTCTCACCTGTCTCTCTCTCTCACCTGTCTGTCTTTCACCTGTCTCTGTCTCAGGTTGGTGTATCGACAGTTTTATCCATTAGCGATAGAGATCTGTCGTTACCTGAAGATTCCAGATTATCAGGGAGTCAGCAGAGTCCTCAAACACTGGGCTTCATGCAAGGTAACCTGTGTCTCACCTGATAAACCTGTGTCTCACCTGACACACCTCTGTCTTACCTGACACACCTCTGTCTCACCTGATAAACCTCTGTCTCACCTGACACACCTCTGTCTTACCTGTCTCACCTGATAAACCTCTGTCTTACCTGATAAACCTCTGTCTCACCTGTCTTACCTGACACACTCTGTCTCACCTGAAAACCTCTGTCTCATCTGTCTTACCTGACACACCTCTGTCTCACCTGACACACCTCTGTCTCACCTGTCTCACTGACACACCTCTGTCTCACCTCTGTCTCACCTGTCGTACCTGACACACCTCTGTCTCACCTGTCTTACCTGACACACCTCTGTCTCACCTGATAAACCTGTGTCTCACCTGATAAACCTCTGTCTCACCTGTCTTACATGACACACCTCTGTCTCACCTGAAACTCTGTCTCACCTGTCTTACCTGACACCTCTGTCTCACCTGACACACCTCTGTCTCACCTGATAAACCTCTGTCTCACCTGTCTTACGTGACACACCTCTGTCTCACCTGACACACCTCTGTCTCATCTGATAAACCTCTGTCTCACCTGTCTTACCCGACAGACCTATGTCTCACCTGATAACCTCTGTCTCACCTGTCTACACACCTCTGTCTCACCTGTCTCACGACACACCTCGTCTCACCTCTGTCTCCTGTCTCACCTGACACACCTCTGTCTCACCTGTCTCACCTGACACACCTCTGTCTCACCTGTCTTACCTGACACACCTCTGTCTCACTGAAAACCTGTGTCTCACCTGATAAACCTCTGTTCACCTGTCTTACATGACACACCTCTGTCTCACCTGATAAACCTCTGTCTCATGTTACCTGACACACCTCTGTCTCACTGACACCTCTGTCTCATTGATAAACCTCTGTCTCACCTGTCTTACCCGACAGACCTATGTCTCACCCGACACACCTCTGTCTCACCCGACACACCTCTGTCTCACCTGACACACCTCTGTCTCACCTGTCGTACCTGACACACCTCTGTCTCACCTGACACACCTCTGTCTCACCTGACACACCTGACACACCTCTGTCTCGCCTGACACACCTCTGTCTCACCTGTCTCGCCTGACACACCTCTGTCTCGCCTGATAAACCTGTGTCTCGCCTGACACAGCTCTGTCTCACCTGTCTTACCTGACACAGCTCTGTCTCACCTGATAAACCTCTGTCACCTGATAAACCTCTGTCTCACCTGTCTCGCCTGACACACCTCTGTCTCACCTGACACACGCCTGTCTCACCTGTCTCACCTGACACCCTCTGTCTCACCTGTCGTACCTGACACACCTCTGTCTCACCTGTCTTACCTGACACACCTCTGTCACCTGATAAACCTGTGTCTCACCTGATAAACCTCTGTTCACCTGTCTTACATGACACCTGTCTCACCTGATAAACCTCTGTCTCACCTGTCTTACATGACACACCTCTGTCTCACCTGATAAACCTCTGTCTCACCTGTCTTACCTGACACACCTCTGTCTCACCTGACACACCTCTGTCTCACCTGATAAACCTCTGTCTCACCTGTCTTACGTGACACACCTCTGTTTCATCTGATAAACCTCTGTCTCACCTGTCTTACCCGACAGACCTATGTCTCACCCGACACACCTCTGTCTCACCTGACACACCTCTGTCTCACCTGACACACCTGACACACCTCTGTCTCACCTGACACACCTCTGTCTCACCTGTCGTACCTGACACACCTCTGTCTCACCTGACACACCTCTGTCTCACCTGACACACCTCTGTCTCACCTGACACACCTCTGTCTCGCCTGACACACCTCTGTCTCACCTGTCTCGCCTGACACACCTCTGTCTCGCCTGATAAACCTGTGTCTCGCCTGACACAGCTCTGTCTCACCTGTCTTACCTGACACAGCTCTGTCTCACCTGATAAACCTCTGTCACCTGATAAACCTCTGTCTCACCTGTCTCGCCTGACACACCTCTGTCTCACCTGACACACGCCTGTCTCACCTGTCTCGCCTGACACACGCCTGTCTCGCCTGATAAACCTGTGTCTCGCCTGACACACGCCTGTCTCGCCTGACACACCTCTGTCTCGCCTGACACACCTCTGTCTCACCTGTCTCGCCTGACACACCTCTGTCTCACCTGTCTCGCCTGACACACCTCTGTCTCGCCTGTCTTACCTGACACACCTCTGTCTCACCTGACACACCTCTGTCTCGCCTGATAAACCTGTGTCTCGCCTGTCTCGCCTGACACACCTCTGTCTCGCCTGATAAACCTGTGTCTCACCTGTCTCGCCTCTCACTAGGTCTCTCACCTGTCTTACCTGACACACCTGTCTCTCACCTATCTCACCTGACGTTTGTCCGTCTGATTTATCTGTTGACCTGTTTGATGTGTGATGTGGTTGTGGGCGTGTCCAGGTGCAACAGAAGGACCTATCAGACGAGGCCATAGCGCGAGCGGTGTGTGTGAAGGTGGGGGACTCGCCTGGGTTTCTTACTCTCACATCGCGGCCAAAGCTTACGAATGTGGACGCACTGAGCTCGCCATAAAGGTAACTTCCTGTTGCACAGGACGCCATTTATAATGTTTGTGTTCTGTCCACCGACACCAGGACAGGCTGTCTCCTGTGATGATCACAGGAATAACTGTATACAGAGAATATAAGTCCGAGACCCATACTAAGGGTTCTGCAGTCTGTTAGTAGAACGTGATGATTCTGTTCCTGCTGATCGTTCTGATGTCTCCTTCACTTTGGTTGGATATGACAGTTTGTTACAGTCTGTTAGTTGAACGTGATGATTCTGTTCCTGCGGATCGTTCTGATGTTCTCCTTCACTTTGGTAGCTCTGGACTACGACAGTTTGTTGCAGTCTGTTAGTTGAACGTGATGATTCTGTTCCTGCGGATCGTTCTGATGTTCTCCTTCACTTTGGTAGCTCTGGACTACGACAGTTTGTTGCAGTCTGTTAGTTGAACGTGATGATTCTGTTCTCTCCCACTCATTGTTCGGCTTCAGTTGGGTACCTCTGGACTCTGAGAGTTTATTTTCTCTGTTCCAGCTGGGACTTTGAGGCTCGGTCCGGAGAACAGGTTCCTTTGCTGCTGAAGATGAAGAGGAGTCAGTTGGCTCTCAGTAAAGCAGTGGAGAGTGGAGACACCGACCTCGGTGAGTTACAGCGTTTGTACCACCTTCAGAACGACTGGAAACGTTGTAAAATGATTATTATAATATTATAGATATATGTGTGTGTGTGTGTGTGTATTATATAGTGTGTATATATGCTCAAATCTGTACAACTTTTACACATTTAATAAGAGTCCCCCTGAACACACCTACATGCCAACATTCACCCATAGCCATAGTGCTACCTGCAGGCAA